GGGCTTTTTTTTTTTTTTTTTTTTTACCTACTTCCTGTGCAAAACAGAAGTGACAGAGGACTAAGTTTTACTCTTTTATTTATTTTTTTTAAATTGATTTCAGAGAGGAAGGGAGAGGGGGAGAGAGAGAGAGAAACATTAATGATGAGAGTCACGGATCGGCTGCCTCCCGCGCGCCCCCTGCTGGGGATCGAGCCCGCAACCCGGGCCTGGGCCCTGACCGGGAATCGAACCGCGATCTCCTGGATCCTAGGTCGATGCTCAGCCGCTGAGCCACACCAGCCGGGCAAGTTTTACTTTTGAGGAATACTTTTCACCCCCCCAGACCACTGAGGCAGAAGAGCTACTTCAGGATTTCACAATAGTACAATCTCTAACTGGAGCTTGCTACTCAAAAGCACATTTTGTCAAAAGGCAATAATGATGTATATCATTACTAAGTGCCATTTTGATGTTTCCGTTCTTTATATTTGTGATTCCTGATCTTTCTCTCTCTCTCTCTTTTTTTTTCTTTAGGGCTTATTTACTTATTTTCTTTTTCTGTTTGCAGCGTGACCGACTTACAAGTTTTAGAAAATCTACCGTCAAAAAAGAAAAACATCTTATCCAACACCCTATTGATTCTCAAGTCGCGATGAGTGAATTCCCAGCGCCTCAGCCATTATACGATGAACGATCTTTGAATCTGTCAGAAAAGGAAGTACTGGATCTCTTTGAAAAAATGATGGTAAGGTAAACCCCTCATGTTGTTGCAGTTTTAAAATGCGTGTGCCCAGAAGAAGCCTGGGTTTTAAGGAGGGCTGTTTGTATGGCCTGTGTGGACATCTCGTAAAGGAGAGATCAGAAACTTGTTGATGCCGTGGAGCTATTTTCCAAAGTGTCTGTTTTTTGAGTTCAGCTTTCTTACTTCCTCTTTCCAGTGTGAGCTCCTAAAAACAGGGGCTGTCTTATGCACTTTTGTTCTCTAGTGTTTCATAGTCTCTGGCGCAGCGAATCCATTTCTCAGTGAACTAATTTGGGTTTCTCTTTCTACAAAGCAAAGCAGGCCTAAGCCCCCTTTGCTGCACAAGGCATCTTGTTCGGTGTATGAAACGGAGCGGGGATGGAAAAAGGTATAAAAACAGTGGTGGGGGCAGAGGTCTGGATTCCTCCAAGTCTGTTTTATAGCAACAGTTACACAGCCATCCAGCGGCCTAGCATGTTGCTTCCTATTTTATAGCTTGTGGTCTAGATGATTCCTCCTATCAGATAATAAATATAATATTTTGAGTATTCAGTAGTTTATGGTAGGAGAGGGGAGAGGGGAGGATTTGGGCCATATGACATTGGTTTGCTTGACCAGCAAAGAAGTGGAGATCCCGACTCATGATTCCTTCCTTTGCAATTCTGTCGCACTTAGCATTGGACGTTTTTCGGGTGCGTGTCTATTTGTCCAGAGTTAGAGTTCACAGGAGTTTCCAGGGTCCTTTCGCCCACGCCCAAATAGAAGGCTAAAAATCACTGAAAATCCAGAGCCTTCTACGCTGCTGGTTATGGAACAGCTTGTCCCCACCCGCTCCCCCACCCCCACTGTTTCCCTCCTGTGCCTGGAAGAAGAGTTAATAGGCCTTCAGTAAGCATCAGTGGACAGTTGTTGAATGAAGACAGACTAATTCCCTTTATCTTGACACTTTTCCTTGACTATCCCTTCTGTCCAGCTGCAGATGGCACCTGGCTGGGCCCCTGACCCAGTTCGCGGCATTGCCGCCCCCGCGGCCCTTCCCCCTTGGCCTGCCCTGCGGCACCCTCTCTGCGCCTGCTCCTCCCATGCCATCTCGGAGGCATCTCTCAGCAACCCTTTCTCTGGCCAGGTCTGTCATCTGCTGACCTTCCTTGATGATGAAAGCACCTGGCTACCCTTTTGACGTTTCCCTGGATTTTGGGGATTTCAACTATTATGTTGACAACCCCATGCTTTTTTGGTCTTAGTTCCTTGATTTCCTAAATCCTGACTCCTGCACCTGTGGATTTAGGTAGTTACTGGCATGCGTGCACCTTGGACTGTGTCATTTTTTGGCGTGATTCCATCTGTGTAAGATCTTTAACCCTGACATTCTCCTCAGAAGCTAAAAAAGCTACGCTACCTCTCCCAGGCGTGGTGGTTATGAACATGGACTTTGGGGTCATCCTGATTTGGATTCGACTTCTGGCTCTGCCATTAATCGCATTACCTTGCAAAGGTTACATAAACCTCTCTGCACTTTATTTTCCTCAACTGTAACAAAGAAATAAAAGGATCTACGTCATCTGGTTATCTTTAGGATTTAAGGAGATGATATTCCTAGAATAGTGCCTGGCATGTAAGCTCTCTGTATAAATAACTTCATAAATGTGTGTTATATTCCCTTTCTTTAGCAAATAAAGGTCTGTCCTTTCTTCAGTTGCCAGTATTTCTAGATCACCCGATTGCCCCTCAATTTACCACTTGGGGGCCTTATCTTAACCACCCAAAACAGTGATGATCAGAACAGAAACAGAAACATTCCTTGATAAACACTTATCATTTTTTTTTTAATAGATTATTTTCATTGATTTTTTTTTTTTTTCTTTTCCCACTTCACTGAAGCCTCGCTCAGATTATGTTTACCGCTTTAATCTGCCAACTGGTTACTAATTTTTATAGGATTAAAATCGTTCTTCGAGTTTGCCGGTGGGCCTGCCCTCCTTCAGTGCACTTCAGCTTGCCATTCCGGGCCACCTCCCACCCCACTGGGGCTGTCACTCGCTTTTGCAACGGCTCCCGCGTCTGTCGCCTCAGTTGTCCTCCAGCTGCCCTTGGCCTGGTGTCGACGGTATCCCTCTCTGCTTGTTTCTTGTAGGCTGCCGACTGGCCTTCCTCCCGTCCTTCTGGTTGTGCCTGTTTTAATCCACTAAGGCCCTGTTGAGGATTTGGGACCATTGCTTTTCCAAAGCCCCAGGTGGGCCCCGATGTTTTCAGTTCTTTTATAGGTTCCCAGCGCCAGTCCCTCACCTGTGCTCCCGGGGGCCCGTTTCACACCTTTGCTTTGACCTTCAGTCCCCAGAACTCTTACCAGCCTTTATACTCTGCCGATGACCTTGCTGCCGAGTTTAGAGTAAATCGAAGCGATCAGAAGAAGACTTCCCCCACCATGTGTATCTACCTCACTTTTAGTACCTGCACCCACATAGTTTGTCTTCCTGCCTGTCGCCGTAGATGAACTTTTTACGTCCCAGATCCCTCCCTTTGTGTACAAGGTCCCATTCCTTTTCAACTACTCAGGGACATTGCTCCAATCACTTCTCTCCGCTCTCTTCTTGCCATTCCCAGCAGCACAGAAATAACCGGTCTCATTTTACAAACCCTTTTCTTGACCTCATCTCCCTTGCTAGCTATTGCTCTATTTTTACTCCCCTTTGAAGCAAAACACCTCCCCTCATTTTGTTTCTATTGATTGCTTCTGATTTCTCACCTCTCCCTTTCTCTCCGAAACTCCAGCCAGGCGTCCGTGTGGCCCTTCCATCAACACTGTTATCAGTGTCACCAAAGATCTTCATGCCGCTGAACCCGTGGTCGGCTCTCACCTCTCACCCCGACTTAGCAGCGGCCTTCCATGCAGTTGCTCTTGCTCTTCCATTTGAAACGCTTTCCCCTCTGCCCCCGACATTGATTTCCTTTCCTCCTATGTCTTTGGGACGCTTGACAAGAAATAAGTTACCTTAAACATTGCCGATACAATGCATGATTTGGAATTTCTGGGTAATGAGACATTTCGGTGAAACTTTTGGGGAAAGCTTAAATAATGAAAGGCGATACTCAAATATAACCCTCTCTTACTGTGATAATTGAAACTCTTGTGATGCCCGAGGATCATATCTATTAACAGCAGTTCTCATTGTACAGGCTTGTAGATGGAGATGATAGGGGATCCTGGGCTAAAACTTTAATTACCGCAGGGCTTTTTTTTAAAGTATTAACTTTTGATTATTAGAACTCTTATTTAATTACTAATAGTTCGTTTTAAGAATCACTTGGCTCTTCATAGCTAAGTGAAATCCTGGGATGAGTCCAGTTAACTCAGATCTGCGTGGTTAGGTTTTACTTTACTTAGTGTTTTCGTAGATTACTAATGTTTCATTGACTGACATCTATTCTGTGCATCGGTATGTCATTTTTCAGATTGTGGACACTCAATGAAACAATAATAGACAGACCTTCTGCGTAATGGTATCAGTGGCTATTGCTGACAGATTTAAAGCTCCAAATTTGAAACTTTTAGGTGATTGCTTATTTTATAGAGCACAAGCTATTTAGAAGCAGTGTGTCTTCAATAGTTTCTAAAAGTGAATTTTGTAGAGTGTCGTCACCGACTATTGAAGATTAGCAAGTGTTTCTTTGATTAAAACTTTTGCTAATAAAAATCCACTTATTTTTATATGATTTTTATAATTACCTGCATAGAGTAAATTATAATTGCTCTGTGATTCCCGTTCCCCTGCTCCCCCAGAGTCATGTTTTCAAATCCTACACAAGTGGATAAAAGTCGTAGGACCAAAACCACAATACTGCTTCCACATTTTGGGGGGATGACTTTAAATGATGACTGAACAAATCCAAACTGCTATATTACATATTATCTTTAACCCCAAATTCAAATTTGCATAACGTTCATATTAGTAGCCTTCCACGTGTTAATCAGAGGCATTTTGAATGGCCTCTAAGTAGTATTGGTGAAATATCTCCTCCGTGTCACTTTAACTATCCTGAGACTAACTGAACTGGTTTTTGCACACTGAGTATAATGCAGTTAGAGCAAGGAGAGAAATGAGTCCTAATACTTAGCATTTGCTTTTGAATATTGTTGCTCTTTTGTGTGCAGTTTTTTTTTTTTTTCTTTTTTGGCTGAGTAATAGGGGATTTCCCTTTTTCTACAAAAATGTTTTTATTGATTTTTTAGAGAGAGAGGAAGAAAGGAGGAGAGAGAGAAACATTGATGAGAGAGAAACATCAATCGGCTGCCTCCTGCACACCCTCTACTGGGGATTGAGCCCGAAACCTGGGCATGTGCCCTGACCGGGAATCAAACCTGTGACCTCTTGGTGCAGGGGACGGCGCTCAACTAAATGAGCCATACCCACTGGGCGAGGATTTGTATTTTAAGCTTAAAAAAAGTAAACATAGAGACTTCAAGTTGTAATTTAATTTCCATTAGCAGAGGTCCAGCTTGCACTGGTAACATTGGATTCATATAAATATGACAATAAGGACTGTGTTCTAATTCAGGTAATTAAATAGTTTGGTTATATGCAAAAGATGAGGCTAGTGATGATTTATGATTAATGATTAATTTCTAGGCACACTTCATTTCAACTTCATTTATTAACGACAATGTGTAATGTATGATTCCATGTGCAAATTTGATGTTTTATACTTTGTTTCTATTCAGCAATTTATATTAATGTATTTTGCATTTTTGGCGTAATTTAATGAAAGTATGGTTATATGCGACAAATGCTAAATTATCCCATATTCCATTTGATTGAACTCTGATAAATAACCCCAAAGCTTTTAATTTTGTTCTCTCACTTTTGCCTTTCATCAGTTAAGAGACTAACTGACACTCAGTGGTTGAGCATCGACCCATGGTCCAAGAGGTCGCTGGTTCGATTCCCGGTCAGGGCACATGCCCTCGATCCCCAGCAGGGGGCGTGCAGGAGGCAGCCGATCCA